GAAGAAAGGGAAGGGAAGGGAAGGGAAGGGAAGGGAAGTCCCAATATCCATATGCAATGATGGAAGTGTTCTGACCCATGGTCTAGTCTAGTGAGATAACAAGGATGTGAGCCAGCCAAGCTTCAACTCCTTAAAAGCTGATTTAGTAAGATGACAGATTATAATATTGCAATATTCAAGTGCTCCAGTTTTGATCAGTAATTGTAAAAGTAGACAGTTTCTGGATTTTTTTTCTTTTCCCTGGGGAAAATGAGACTTCCTAGCAACGTAATTTTGAGACAAACCTTGGTTTGCAACACTTCATCATAGTTCTAGAGAGCTTGAAATGACATATTTTTGATAGCTGTGAAAAGACAATTTTGAACTTCAAAAAATTATTTAATGAGGCCTTTTTCAATTTTTGTTGCAAGGCTCAAAGATACTATGTAATTTTGGTTTTACAGAAAAAGTAAAAAAAAAAAAAAGAAATGCAGTACCAGCAAGCTTGTATTAAGATATTAAAATAGCTCTAAATTTTGTTTTCTGGTAAAATATTAGACATACCTAAAATATATGTGCAGATACAATGCCTTATAAAGGCATTTATTTAAAAAATTATTTATGAATTTATCATTTTTAACTAATGTGGCTGCCTCCTGTTCCTCCTGATAATTTTTCATCTCCTCATGTATCACCTCCTTCCATACATATATATTGATGCACATTCTCAATACATTTTGTGCTGTTTATGAATATCACTTTGTAATAATCAGCTAATGCAATGCAGCATTTTCCTCCTCTGAAGCTGGGATAAAGCTCTGTGATTCACCTGCATTTTTTCTGAGTCAGGAGACTAAACCTTTACACTGGCTCCTGATTCCCTCAGTTGCATGGAAAATGTAGCATTGCAGCTATCAACAGCAGGAGCTCAGCAAATCCATTTCATTTCTGAAAGTTAATTAAAAAGGAAGAAGGTAATTACAGAATGAACAGAGTTACTTACACCATACAGCTCTGTGCGGATTCTTACAAAACACCTCCTGTACCAAGTTCCGGTATCACTCTCTATTTCTATGAGCTCATCTATCTGCTTAGGTGTTTTGATTCTGGTAACCTAGAAATATAAACAGAACAAAAATATTTGTAGTTTCTGGAATCATTAACTGCTTATGGAGGCGTATTGGTGGGGTTTATTACACTCCATCTACTAAAAATTAGCAGATACTCAACTGGTGTCTACACTAGATATGTTTTAGATTTATAAAGGAACAATAACACATTGTAATGACGAAATCTTTATGGATGCAACTGTTTCAGAAAATTCTATGTTCGAGGCATGCAGGAAATATATTTCCTCTGGCTACAATAAGCTGTTCCTGTCATATTCTTCTAGAGAGTTGTTGTATGTACCTCTGATGCCTCAAAGGATAAAACATTGATTTAAACCACCAGTTAACCATGCCCAGAATTTGCCTTCAAATTGGTTTTGACTCGCTATCATAACATTGTTGGAAGCCTTTTGATTAAAGACACAATAGTGAAAACAGGAGAATTCAAAATGTCATGAATTAGTAGTTGGACAACCTTTTCATTATTTTGTTATTTTTCCTACTGTTAAACAGAGAACTTAATGAAGAGAGAAGAAGTGAGGTGAAATGATCTGGAACCACACATTTTATTGCTGTTATGAACAATGATCTACTTATTTAAAGTGAAATGAGATAAACAGACATCAGGCAAAAATACAGAATTGCCAGTGATGGAGAATGTAATGCATCCTATAATGCTAATTTTTACTTTTACTCTCCTGTGTAGCAGAACCAGGGTGTGTTACACGGTCTTTCCAGACACAGGACCTGACATGCTTATACTACCATGTGGTTTTTGTTTTAGTTTCAGCTCTGGTCTTGGCTTCATAGTGATATCACAAAAGGCAGTGTATTCACCCACAGTTTATTTTAAAAGAAGATGAGCAGAGAACAGAAAGAAAATTAATAAAATGGGAAAGGGACTGACACAGAAGGAAGGAGGAGAGCAAGAGAATGCTTGTTCAGTGTTTGGCTGCAGTTTCTGAAGTTAGACATGGCTTCTGTTTCTTCTTAACAGAACGACGACACCCTCCCCACCCCCAGATCCAGTGTATCACAGTGGATTATAGGACACCAGGGAATAGCAATATTGATGATAAAGCTCAAGTTTTGAGCCCACTGCTTTCACAGGTGTATGCTGTTTGAGATGCAACAGCAGCCTCATCCCATGAACAAGAACATAGAAAAGCACACTAAGTAATTTGAGGAATAACTGCCCTCGTTTCTGAAGTATTACAGCTCAGTGTTTTGCCAGATCATGACATTTTCAAAAGCCTGAAGCCTTCTTGTCAGGTCTCTTCAAATAATCCTGTCCACATCATTCCACTGATCTCAAGTTTTTCTTAAAGTGCTTTCAGGAAATGTGTTATACAAAAGACTAAGTCAAGTCCTCAAAAATTATCTGATATCTCCTATATACAGAAATCCTTGCATTCCACATCTCTGGGCAGATAAGGGACGCCTTTTGAATCCCACTCTTGTGGACTCAGTTCACCATACTGGGCACCTGACTCAGTTGTAGCTGTGGAGACTGGGGGAAACATATTTATGCTAGGACCACTGTATGTGACTGGAGACAAAAGTTGTCTGGCCTTGGTAGTTCTTTAACATATGAAAAGTCCCATTGAGTCAGGATAATAGTCCATCTGGATCATGCAAATTCAGCATGTCAGTGTATGAAGGATGAAAAAAAAACAAACCCAGAAAAGAAAACCTATTTTAATGAAAATGATGCTTCTGTTTAAAAGCAATGGTTAGAAATATGCAATGTTTAAAATTTGTAAAAAGTCAAGACTTGTTGCAAAGAAAAATAGTTGCAGGAAAAAAGAGTTCATACACGGTAATTGAGCAGTAGAGAAAATGTTGATTTTAAGGATGCAAATATTTTTTTTTTACTTAGATATTTAAACCAAGACATCTAATAAATAGGTATTTAAAAACCATCGAACTCTGGTAGTTCCATGACTGAAGATAATATCAATTTATTGGTGTCTGTTATTTCAGGACAAATTCTTCAAAGTGTGAAGGGCCATGCTGTCAATTAATTCAGGAACCAGAATACTCCATTTTGGATTAACTCTAAACTCAACTGGTTGTCAGTTGATGCCATGTCTTTCTAAAGGCTTGAAGATAATCCCCTCAAGAATATGAGTAACAAGAATAAACATAACATAAGAATAAATTTTAAAAGAATTAAAAGAATTAAAAGAATTAAAGAATTCTTTTAAAGAATTTTAAAAGAATCTAGAAAAATATAAAATCAATATTATTTTATAAGAAAATGCATGAAAGAAAATCACACTATAACTATAGGTACAATGGAGAAAATGTTACATCATCAGTAGAGTCAGAAAACATACTATCAAGATGTGTCTGATGTAAGTAACAGGAAGGAAAATAGTAAAGCAGAAGTAATAGAATGACATTGGATAAGGAGAGAAGGAGTGTGGAAAGTTTAGAAGTATATGAATAAATTACTCAGACAAAATGTCGCAGTATCGAGGACTAATTTAGAAACAAAGAGAAATTAAAAGGATATGTGAAACAAATTATGCATAAGTTCTTTGCTTTCTGGGTTTTATGAGATGAAGTGCTGATGTACAATAAGAAGAGAATGATGCATTTTCTAATCATATTAATGCAAGCTAAAAATAGGGACTTCTATATGTGTCTAACCTTGACACACAGCACAGTATTTCTAATCTCAGCTTGATATATGGAGTAGAGTTTTCATAATGTTCAAGGCAGAAACCAGCAAAATTAATGGCTGATCAATTTACAAAAGTAACTGTAGATAAAGTGTCTGAGTGTCACATTTTAACAGCCATTGAGACAAAGACTTTTTAGATCAAAAGAGCTGGAAACAACAAGCATGTGCTTTGTTTTCTTCTCCACCGCTGCTTTAGGACCTGATTACAATTACGTCAAAGTGACGTGAGAGGCTTATCCTTCCTCCCACATTTTCTCCTAGCACATTACTATCTTCTTCCTTGTGCCTAAACCATTACTAAAGGGGGACAGGGTGAGTGCTGTGGCTGACTGTGAAATCAATCTATGAATATCAATAGTAGCAGAAAACCCCCTCCTGGTGTCACCAGGAGCAGGCATATTCTGCCTGAAAGCAGCTCAGATCAGCAAGAGCCAATTGTGAAATTACACCATAGCTATATGGTGTTAGGCAAATCTCTTTACTCATAAATTAAATCAGAAAATAAAATATTAGACTAGGTGGGATTAGGGGTAGGTCATCAGTGTACCAATAAACGTGGATTTAACATGGCAAATGTGCTAACCAGGCTTCTTTCAAGTTAAATATAGGAATTATTGAGCTTCTTTGTGGAAAAGTTTAAATGGAAGCAATGGAAACTAAATCCAAGGCAGAAAACTGCAAGTCTCAATGGAATATAAGTTATTTGGTCAGATGGTCATTACTCAAGACTGCCTGCAAATGGAGAACCTTTAAGAGGATTTCTTAATTGAGTTGTATGTGCAATACAGTAAGAAGAAAGCTTCTGGAAGAGGAAAAACATCCTACACATGGCTCTGAGGGAGTAGAGTGCACATACTGCTACAGCTCTGCACAAACTGGAGAGGCCGACTGGATTCCAAAGCAAGAAAGTTCTGTTTAATCCTACTGTATCCAGGAAGACAAGATTGCTGTGTATAGTCTTCATAAATAACGAAGATGCCATAAAAAAAATCAACTTTTGAATTGGAAATTTCTCCAGTAGAAACAACCAATCAATACTTTAAGTAGGGTTTTATAATTAGGCCTCAACAAAATGAACTTTGAGAATATTAAATGTTTGAAATTACTATTTCATAGAAGAGAAAATGTCGTCTTTAAAACCATTATTTTACCTGATAAGAACGGAAAAAAGTTCCAAATCCTAAAGACACAACAGCTAACTAATTTGGACTTCTATGTGATTACTGTTGTTACTAAGGGTGAAAACTTAATAAATAAAACACAAATGGAATCCGTTAACTATACTGGTAGGAATCCATTAACTACCTTGGTACACCAGATAAAATCATCCTGCTGTGGCTTCATACACTCATGAATATCCTGGCCAAAGGCTGATTTCTTAGCAGACATTGTATATATAACAATTTCAGTAGGAATTGGCAATACTTTTATTTAGGTATTTAGAGTACAAAAAATTGGCTTAGCCATTTAGAGTATTAATATTGATTGCTTAAGCCATCCAGACCTCACCAGGCTTGCTGCTGTGATAGGTGATTAGCTCTAAAAGCAATACTCACAGTGAAGACTTTCTCAGGCTGACCACGAGCACGCATGTTTGTGTCATGAATTTGCTTGAGTATCATCCAAGCTTCATCATGTTTTCCAACCTAAACGTCAGAACAAAACATTTAAGTGCAGCATACATACAAATTAAGTTACTCACTATAGACCCTGAATGATCTAAATGCTTGTTTAGTAGATGTCATGATGTAAAACAGAAATAATTTTGACTGGAATCTAGAAACTGTTTGGGAAATTATACCTCCAGCAGGAACCGTGGGCTTTCCGGCATAAAGGTGAGGGCAACCACAGAAGAGACACAAGGCAGTGCACAGACAATCACAAATACTCGCCAGCTGTGGAACTGGTAGGCAGAGCCCATGCTGAAACTCCATCCTGTGGAAGCAGAAATTCACAAAATGTAGACAAATAAGGAGTACTATATGCGTTATCTTATATATGCTGCTTCGTGGAGATGCAAAATGATACTTATAGGTAAGTAAAGCCTGATGGATATATTTCCACAAATGTTGGTCATCTAAAAATTAGTTTCACACTGTGACTTTAAGCCTCTTGCATGTGACTAGTCATGTGGGAAAGTAGTTGCATCATGGATGAAAGACTTCCTTATCCCGGGATGAAGAAGCTTCTTTAAATTCTCTTAGAAAAACTTATATTAAGATAATTATGTGAATCAAACAGGAACATCATCACTATGCATAAGAATATATACACAAAGAAATATTTTTCTATGAACAATGGAGTTGGAAAGACTTAAAACTCTACACACAAATTGTATATTTTAGGGAATTGCCTAGCTTTCCTTAACATTAACTTTTTCTACAAAGTTGACTTCAATACTCTTAATAAGAATCATCCATATGAAACTGGAGGGCTGGTAGTTCAGCTTTTTAATAAAATATCTGGTTGGTTGGTATATTATGAATGGTCTATTGAAATGTTATAATTGTAAAAAAACTATGAATTTATCTTAAGAAAGAGAAAAGTATTATTTGAGTAACTACCTGGCCCTTTATTGTGGCTTCAGTACAGCAGAAATTTTCAAGTAAAATTTTTAAGGATAACTTATTAGAAGGTGAATGGAAGATAAGAATAATGGTAAAGGACAGAAGAGGTTACTGGAAGGAAATGAAATTTTGGGTAATGAAAGAACTGATGTACTGGATTAATCTATTATTTGCTGCCTGATTTTTCTAGGCAAAAGATATAGTTAATTAAATCAGTATTAATGTCAGTGTACAACTGGTAGGACATAGTACCAAATGACCTGTTAAATAATTCTCTAAAGGAGGTATTTATGAGAGAAATGTAAAACATGGGGTTTTTTAAGGTAAAGATTCTATGTTGTGGATCATAAACATCATTTGCAAAAATTTCTTTCTCATATGAAAGTACTTACGTGCTACCTCATGAAAAATACTGTGAATCAATGATTTATTTTAATCTTTATCAATGACTTGGTGAAACGTCTTGATCAGCAGATGTGGTAACATATTTCTGGTATCCTACAAACTTCCTATATTTCTGAAATTGTATCGGTTTGCCATTTAGCACTGCCACCTTTACCTCAGGGAGAAAGGAATGAAATCAATAAGAGTACTGACAATGATCTTGGAATCCCATGTTACTTTTTTTAAGTAAGGCTCCATATGGACATACTTTACTGTTCAAAATGTCCTTCCAACCTAACAAGGATGTCTAAAAATTAATGTTAAATTTTATTCCAAAGTAAACATGTAAACAAAACAAAAACAAAGACATAAAAGTGTATTAGAATTCACTCTTTATTGATTTTTGGAAAATGCTAACATTTGATCTTATAGAATTTCGAGTCTTAAATATTATGTGTGTATTTTACATTTAAATTACGAGAGGAAGGAAGTAAAGAAAGGTTAACAGAATAATGAAGCAATTAGAGACCACACCTGTATTTGGATACTGTGTACACATTTTATTCTAATAATTAGAATCATATTCTTCATTACATGATTTGGAGTATAGAAAAAAATCACCTGATGTAGGATTTGCAAAATATTTTTTTGGTGAAGTGAATCTCTAGGCAGCTATGCAACTCCTAGTGCTGCAGGGAAGGCAGCACAGGATGGGAGTTTTCATCTTTCAGAATGTTTATTATCAGTCAAGGTACTGGCTTTTGTTGTTACTAGAAACTGCTCGAGAAATACACGAAGCCACTGGTATAGTTAGGCAATCTGCCTTCCACAGCTCCAGTTTATGTTTTATAAGATTGAGCTGTACAAAGGGCAGTTCTGCAGTAAATGAAATCAACCTGGCTTTATACCTGTTATAAAGCAACAGCAACATCTTGAGCTCTGTAGCCAGTCCTGGAAAATGCTCTTGGTAATTTATTTTTACTTGTCATTTATTAATACAAGTGAACTGTATTACACTAAATTAAAAGCAATACATGCACTGTTCATTCTGCTGTCATTGTGACAACCTACAAAACATCTTTTTTACTCCTCAAAATACCTGAGGGACATGTCAAGTGAAATGTTCATTATAGTTTTTATTGCTTTTGTTCCATCTTTTTCATTATGGACTGTATTAGCTGCTGCAATTTATCTTGTGATTTAATATATCTGCTGAATTAATGGTAAAGAGGAATGTCAGGATTATAAAAAGCAATTTGTAGAAAAAATCCTGGAGCTGCAACAGAGCTTTCTGGAGGTTGTTCCTCCCATCTATTCCAGCACCAGCACTAGATCAGCAAAACAAACATGTATTTCAAATGCACAGCAAGTTTGGATTTATTTTTATATTTAACACATCCTTTTTCCCCAGATCATGAGCTAATCTGGATAATGGAGCCATTAGAACAGCTCTGAATTTAGCTCACAAAGTGGCTTTCATTCCTTTTGTACGCAAGTCTTGAAACTAAATGAAATTGTGTTCTTGGCTGTAAGTCAATCTCCTCTGATTTATGGCAAAATAGCAAAGGCACAGCAGCCCTACATGGCTGCATTCAGTGCACTGCTCAGCAACTGGAGCCGACCTTCACCCTTGCTCCCTGGCTATGCTGTATTCGAGAGTCATTAATCTTGAGAACGGGGGCGAGTCCCAATGTTTTATGAATTGCAAAACATTTGGTCCAAATGCACCTTGGGAGTAATGTAGTGTAGAGAAACCCCAAACCTCATGGCTGAATCTGAAGCTCCTGTAGGAAGCTTCGTGCTAAATACCACCCACCTGCTTTCCTGGCTGCTGGAAAAGCCCAAGTGAATCACAGACATGGCAACTGCGATTACAGAAACACAGGAGCACATAGCAGAGCAATATCAAAATGTACAAGGCGCTAATCTGTATCCATTCACCAATTCATGAGTTGAGCACAAAGTCAACAAAATCTTGTCTCACAAAACAGCATGCCATCAGCTCCATAATATTAATAGATCAAAAGGATATAATAAAACTCTTACTCCAAAGGAGAGAAAAGAAAATTTCTCAGAGACTTTCTGAATATACATAGAGGGAAATCTGTGTGCATTAAGATGAATTTTCTGAATGTATAATACTTGATAAACAGCAAGACTCTTCAAGCACAAGGATCCTCTGCTACGGTAGACAACTAGAGAGTAGATTTATGGGGATGATTTGCTAAACTTTCCACAAAAAGGGTTGCAAGGAACATGATAGGTCTCTACAAATTCATACGTTACACTAAATTGCCATGTGAGCAATGAAAAACATGGGTACCAGCAGAATCTGTACAAATACTGACTGGCAAGGAGATAGTTTATGTACACAAGAGGAATAAAGGTGTGAACACCTTAGTAAGACACTAAAATTGGCGAAGAAAATCCAACCAAATATTGTGATTTGATGGCATGGTTAGCTAAAGACTGAGCATTTTGACAATTTTTGTTAGTCATTCAGTATGAGTAAGAGGAACTACTTTAATGACAGTGTCATAAATTGCCCAAATCCGATTTTTCATAGATTTCTGTCTTTTACTAGATCAAAGGAGGGAGTAGATGCAGAAACATACTTAAAAACTGGAGGTCGGGGAGAAAGAGAATCAAGGATCTCACAGTAATTCATAGACTTCACGGATTCTTCCAAAGAATAATTTTCATGCTTTTATAGCTTTTCTTGTTTCTGTTTCACCATACAACCTTTGGTCAGAAGGCAGCTTTTTAGCCTTCATTCTCAATGTTTTTGTTTGAAATATTTACGGTAACTAAGAAGCACGATTGCTCTGAATTGTCACTTGGTGGCACTGTTATCGTACTCAATACAAATAAAGCTTAAAACTTGCAGGAAGGCTTTTACTATCAAATGCTGCTGTTTTGTTGAGTGTTTCCCAAATCTAAGCTAAAGTAAAATTATAAGGACTGGAAATATTTTGAAGCTTGCATCACTTAAACACTGTGGTTATTGCACTTATATTTTTTCTGCCCTGGCATTACCAAGTTTAAATGTCAGCATCATCTAGGATTTGAAACCATATATTGTAGTGCTACTGATTAGAATAAAGGTGAAACATCACTGAAACTGAAATAAAGAAAATTCATTTAAGTTATGTAGCTGAGGAAGATCTCCTACACATTTTTACCAAACTGGATGAAAACCACGATTTTATAGAATTGCAGAAATGATGCTTTCAGAATTCTTCTGTGTTGTATTACTGTGAAATTCCAGTAGCACAAAGTAGTACACTTGTCTTTTCTGTGATTAAATTATTAATATCACATGGGACAAGCATTGTTATTTTTAGCTTGTATAGATAGTTAGATACTCTACAAACCTAATCTCCACAGGCCAGCTGCTGGTAATTTCTAAGAAGGAATTTGGAAATTAAATAGCTGAAGTGTGGCAGGTCATGATGGAAGGAATTTAACAAAGGTGCATGGTTCTCTATAGCTAAATGCAACTAGCCCTTGAGGATTACCAGTTCAATGGAAGAAGAATGTAAAAATGTTCAACAGATGTATTTTGCAAACACATTAGACTCAGATCTGGTCTGCTGACATTTAAAATTATGATGAGAAGAAACAAAGCATTTTCTAAAGATGTATTTCTTCTGTCACAGAGGAAGGGGTTTGTAAGCACAGATACAAGTCACTCCTCTGTGCTGACATTGATATTTATCTGAAAACCTTAGAAAATCAGGTCTGTGCTCATTCCAGTGGCAGTATTTTCTATCTAATGCTATCACTTATATAGGTTCTGTGGAATACAAACAGAGCTGTTAGGTTTGTTTCCTTGACATGGAAATGCTAATGTATGAGGCTTGATAGGAAGAAAAGAACCCATAAAAATTAGTTTAAAGTCAGAATATTTAGAAATGCTGGGGTGGAGGTAGGTGTGGGGAGAAGGTAAGAGAAATTTTCAAGTTGTTGCGTGCATGGTTTGAA